CTTCTACTCTATAGTCTATAGTCCTTATGGATTCGCTCGTTCTAATTCTCAGCAATAAATCAACCTTAATCTACAATTACACTAGGAATATGAAAATTAAACCTAATTACATTTCATTTTTCTAAAGATTGAATTGGCTTGTGTTGCGTTACCGTGTTTAGGTATGTTTGTGGTCCTTAAGTTATTACTAAAGCTACGGGGTTATGTTTTGCCAATTAATGGCAAATTTATGAGTTCACTAAAAAGGCCACAAATGGAAAATATTCTAATGATAATAATTAATTAATATTTTTTTAATCGCATTTTTTTACTTCACACATGCACAATTATAAATTATTATGGTCAATAATAAAGACAAATAGTCAAGGACTCAAGCTTAAAATGCGACAATTTACTGTTTGTAATATTAAACCTTATTCAAGGTAATTTTAAGCCGAGAAAAACGCTAAAATTGTACTAACACCGAAAGTTATCATAATTTTGAGAATAGTAGATTTGATTATCAAACCAAGAATGTTGTAATGATGGGATATGATAGGATTGAAGTTATGCACTTGAAATAAAGCTTTGGGGATATGGTCCCCTATCCAAATTGATCATTAAGTTAGGAATAGTTTTTGTAACTTGAGTTGCTTTGAATTATTTTGGAACCTTTTGGCTCAAGTAATTGAATTATTATATGTATTGGGCCAAATGCTATTATATATTATGTCATTGCATATCTAAGGTGGAGAAGTTTATGTTAATGTCCAACATTTATCGACCTTACATATCAAAAGGCAGTGGTTAAATTGAGCAGTATCAATAATTATGTGTGTGAGATTGATCAGTAGTAGATATTTATATTATTTAATAATCTATAACCTAAACTAGCTAGTTACATAGAACCAATGTCCAATAGTAACATGTATGGGTGATGACTATCAAGTAAAAATAATCTAGGAATCCAATAACATTAATTTAGAATTGGTTAGTACTTAGCTAGCTAGGTGATGATAAATAAATTGTTGCAGTATGTTGGTAATGAATTTATGAAATGTTTAGAACAAGGTTTTTATCACAATGTTTAATTATTGTCATTATCCCCCTTTAAAAATGTGTTTTTCTTTATGCATACTCTATTAACACTCAAAACCTATCATCATAACCTCTAAAATGTCAAAAATGGTGATGAATGGATAAGATAATACATACTATTTCGGGATAAAGTTGGTCAATACATAATATTGACAAGAGACTTTACTTGCAATTATAGAGTCCATAATTTTCATTACCACCATTTATTACTGTAGTATATGCTAATCATAGTGTTCTAGTTTATTTTGAAGATCATTAGGATAGATTAGGAGCTTAGTAAGTCGTGTTCTACATGAGATTGATGAAAAGCAAATTTATGGCTAAATCAAATTAATAATTGTTTCGGATGAAAACAGTAGGACCCTGCCGAAGGTCCGATGAAGTGGACGAAGACTTGTCCGGTCCAGTTGATGCTGGGCCGAAGGTTTCCTGCACAGCAAACACACGTAAACTGGCCTCGGGGGTGGATCCGAGGAAGACCCCTCCGATGCCGAAGTCAGACAGTGTTCTTGGAGAGAAAGCTATGCAAGAGATTTAATGCTTGAGGCTTTATGTCTATCTGTCATAAATGAAGTAATTGAAGGCTTTTATACCTTTGCATATAAAGAGAGGAGAACAATTGGGCCCTAAATAATCATGGACTGACCATAGCAATTTGGACCAATTGACTTATGACTGACTTGAATTGATTGGAGGCTTGGGCCTTGAAATATTGGATCATTTAATGACTAGGCCCAATTAGCTCAATTGGACCCAAACAACTTGCCCCCCAGACCCGATTTGGAAGGATGACGGGTCGGGTTTGAATCCAATAAAAATGGAGGGAAGTAAATGATTTAATTAAATCAAAAGATTTAAATTTTAAACAGTCATTAACTAAATAACTGTAATTGGGATAATTAATGGGGAGTTGAGTGGATAATGGGCGGTTAATCAAGAGAGGAAGTGCTTAACGGTTAATTAAGGAGGCATTTAAGAGAGATTTAAATTTTTCGACCCCTGAAATTCCCTTTTCTGGAATTATAAGGCCTAATTTGTATTTTTGCCTCATTTCTTCACCGATTTGCACTCAAATTCTCGCAGAAACTCCCATTTTCGCTTTGAATCTTTAGCGCAATATCTCCGAATCCAAGTTCGACGCTCAAATCCGCCACTCCCACTGACTTGACCGGCGCATTCCGGCCTATATGAAGGTAAATTTCTTCGAGTTTCTTTTGATTTTCTTGCCTTTTTGAGAGAATTCCTCTTTTTCCTACTTTTCTTCTTCGAACTTTGATTATGGCTACAGGAAGAGGGCGCCAACCCGGTCGACGGGGTCAGGCTAGGGATCCCCGTGATCGCGCCGATGTTTGGAATGGGGAACGAGTCGGGGAAGACCCGGAGAGGGGAATTCCGGCCGTTCCTCTGAATGCCGCACCGCCCCAGCAGGACGCCGGGGCCGGCGAAGCGGAGCAGCCTGAGCAGAGAGAGTGGGCTGGGAAGGCCGAGGATTTGCCCCCTGTGCTTTGGGACTTGCTCCCTAGGCATGCTGAATGGCAGGATGCCGAGGCTCAGCGTGCCATGGTGAGAAATACCCCTTACTCTTGGTGGGTTTGACATGCCGAAGCCTACCGGTTTGCCGAGCAAATAGAGTTGCACTACGACATTTTCGAGGAGGATGGGTACTGGTGTCGAATGCCCTCGCCAACTGACAGGATCCACCGTCCCCCTCCTGGGTACATAGGGGTGTAATACTCGGCAATTACAATATGGGCTTCGGTTCCCTCTGGATCCCTTCTTTAGGGATATTTTAATAAAGTATAGGATTTCCCTGTGCCAATTAACACCCGTCAGCATTCGGCGGGTGATGACTTATCTCTGGGTGTGCCGGTTTTTTGCTGTTGAGCCGAATTTGCATTGCTTCCGAAGGATGCATCAGCTAGTGCAAAACATCCAGAGCGTGTATGGCCAACACGGGTCCTCAGGCTGGTGGCGAATAGAGAGTCGCCCCCAATATTTGACTATGTGGCCAAACGATTCTTCGAATAAGGATTGGAGAGGTCAGTGGGTCTGGGTAAGAGTTCCCGCTGATCCGGAGCACCCTTATTTTTTCGGAGCTCCCCGATACCTCTCCAGGCCTGATCCAAACATGCAGGACCTGGGCCCCGAAGACCTTGATGCCGCTCGTCACCCCAGCTACGAGCAAATGAGCTTATTCGGGAAGCAGGATAACCCTGGGGGAGTTGGCCGAATGAGATTCATCCCGGCCAGATGGCTTCCAGATAACCATTACGTCTTCCAAGAGAAGATGTTGGCGGTTGTCGGCCTCAGCCGAAAGTACAGGGATGGTAAGTATCTTCCGCTGGGGCCGAGGACTTTGCCTTATATAATTTTCTGCTTATTTTTAATGCTTACTCCCTCAGTCTAACCTTCGTCTTGCCTTTTCAGAGCTGAGAGAAGCTACCTCGGGTATTGACTACAATCGGCTTGGGGTGAACGCTGAACGAGTCATTTTAGACCGGGCTCCGGCGATCACAGCTCCGAAGAACCATCCGTTGCATCTGCACGAAACAGGCCTTCAGATCGAGGCTGCCGCAGATTACACCAAGCAGAAGCCTTGGTGGGAGAAGCGAGATCCCCTCAGGCCCTTATTACCCGAGGAAGCACAGGCTGATCAGACAGCCGAGGACGTATCCCGAGAAATCGACTCCTTGGAAGGAAGTTTAGGGACGTCTGGTGCTGCCGAGAGGGATACCTCTGCATCTGAAGCTCCGCCGAGGGTTCCGGTAAGTTCCTTGGATCCTGACTTGTTCGTTTTTCTTTTCTTTCTTTTTCTTTTTCTTTTTTCTTTTTTTTTATACACACCTTGATGCCCCCTCTTCTGCAGTCTGAGGAAGGGAGCGGAAGGAGAGAAAGGAAGGCACCTGCTCGTCCTGAGGATCCATCTTTGTCTGAATCTGAAGAAATGGACGAGCAACCCTTGGCAAAGAGGAGGAGGAGGTTAGCCGTGCTGGGGCCTCGTCAGTTTCAGACGGGGATGAGGCATACCGGGGGGGCATCCATATAAGGGAGCCTGATGAAGGTAGATGCTCGCCGAGGGCTCCCCCTCCGTCGGAAGTTCCGCGTCCTCAAACCCCCCCTCCACCTCCCGAAACTCAAGAGATGGAGGTGAACCAAAGAACTCCTGATCCGAAAGGGGGGGTTTAGGAACGCTCCGCTGAAGACTCTGAGAAACCGATCGCTGAAGGTTTCTCAGATGATATTGATAGGGAGGTTGATGCTCTACTTCGTCAACCTGATCTGAGGGAGGAAGCATAGAAGGTAATTGTTGCTGACCCTAGTGGAGACCAGCTGGGCTCCGCCGAAAGGGGAGAAAATGCTGAGCCCGAGAAGGTTCAGGAGGTTCCTTCTTCTTCCTTCCCATCCTTCCAGACGCTGAACTCTGGAGATCTGGGTTTCTCGGCCCCCCGCATCACTGTCCCAGAATCTGTTTGGGAACGAATTTGGGGCCAGAACCGCAAAGGGGCTGCGGGTTACTTCGGCGACCTCACTGGCATGTCGGAGGTGGACCGAGCTAGGGTGTGGTCGCTGAAGGCCACTGCTGGAATGGGAGAGTCCATCCGAAGGGTTCCTGACCCTGCCAGAGACAACCAGCGTTTGCTGATGCAGGTACTCAACCATTTAGGGGGTTTTTTTTCAGCTCTTCTCCTTCTTTTTTTTTACTGATGTGCCCATGCAAATAGGTTGTGCACAATCAGACTCTTACTATAGAGCTGATTGACACCCTCCAAGACAAGCTGGAGCGGGCTTGGGAGGATGCTAAGATCGCCTAGGAGGAGGCAAAGCTGGCAGAGGTGAAGCAGCAAGCTGCTAAAGAGAGACAGGCGGCGACCGAGAGATATGAGAAGCAGGCTTCTGAGGCCCTTCGGACCTTCTGCCACGCCATGGAAACTGAGGTTTTCCCTACTCTGATGGCTGGGGAGAGTGTCATCAATGAGTTTGGGGCTTTTGACATCCCCAGTTTCAGGGCGGCTATCTCTCGCCGAATCGCTGCCGAGGCTGCTGGTCAAGTCCAGGAGATGGAGCAGAGGCTGGAAGGTCTTGAGTCCAGCAGGATGGCCGCTGAAGAAGCTCAACAAGCCAGGGATGCTCACCTTTCTGCTGCCCAAGCTGCTGCTGAGGGCCAGGACCAGAAGCTGAAAGAACTGGAAGTTCGGCTGAAGGTTAAGGGAGATGAGCTGACCCAGGCCAAGACCGAGACTTCCAATGTCCAGCTAGAGCTTAACGAGCAAAAGACTTCTTCATCTAAACTCTCAGAAGAATTGGAGAAATCTAAAAAAGATTTGGAGGAGAGTCGAAAGAAGCTAGTTGATGCTGAGGCCTTGCTCCAAGTCCGCCTCTATACCCAAGAAGAATATGAAATGGGTTACACAAATGGGTTTAAGGTGGCTCGGAGGTTGGCTCTCCATGCTGAGCCTTCGCTGGATTGGGCTAAGTGCGCGCTTTGGGCTCAGGATCTCGAGGATCCACATATGTTGTATGCTACTCCTGCTGAGCATGAAATCCTTCAGGCTGAACAAGCCGAGGAGGAAGCTGAGCGGCAGGAGTTGGAGGCTGAACAGCGAGCCGCTGATGCTCAGGCAAGGGCCCAACCTGCCTCCTCTGCTGCTGGAACCGAGACTGCTCCGGGGCTTGACACTACTGACCAGCCTGATCCTCCGGCTGAAGCATAGGAAATCGGGCAGTCGTCTTCAGAGTCTTGCGGATCAACGTGTGCTTAACTTCAGACTTGTCGTTTTCTGAATCTCTTTTTGCCTTATTTTTTGCTTCAGCTTGCGTTGATGTACAAACAGTTTATTTTTGTTCCTGTACAGTTTGTTTGAACACTTTGTAGCTCGTGATACGAGCATGATTTTGTATTTTATGCATTTGACATTTCTCTCATACTGCTTTGCTTTGAACTTGCATGATTTTCATTTTTTTTTTTTGCTAAGTACAAAGCTTCAGCTTAGAGGTGTCAGCTGAGGCAGTCTGCACTTGTGCTTCTTGCCCTCTCAGACATCTGAAGACTTGTTCTTCGGATTTCTGAGATTATTCTAATTTTCCTTGTCTATATTCTGCTGGTTTATGCTTTTTCTCTTGAGTTTCGTCTATCTTAAAAATGGATATCTCAAACACAGGGCCAACTGAAGGCAGTGTTTCAAATAATGGCTATCTGGGATGCAGAGCTCAGTTAAGGCAACATCCCGGATTTGTCCATGGACTCATTGCCTTGCAGAACAAGTCCTATTAGGGTTTCTACCCCAGCTGAAGGACCAGAGTTCCTTAAAAAGGCAAGTTTATCGGCAATCCGAAACCTGATGCTCTGAGGGTGAAGGTTTCAGACAGGGCCGAAGGAAACCCTTAAAGAGTAGACAGTATAAAGAAAAACAGGAGAGAACATTGCAAATGTTTGTAGAAAATAGTGGCTCTGAGGCCTTTCACTAATAATTTAAAATGTACTTACAACAATTGTTCTGCCCCGAAGGGTTTACACATGGTATTTTTTAAGTACATCGGCATTCCAGTGATTTTTCAACTCAGTCCCGTCCAACTGCCGAAGTCGGTATGTTCCTGGTTGATGCTCATCATATACTTCATAGCGTCCCTCCCAGGCCGCTGAGAGTTTCCCATGAATTCGGTTTTTCTGCACTGCAGCAGCACTCTGAAGGACGAGGTCTCCAATTTTGAGAGGCCTCACTTGGACTCTTCGGTTGTAAAATTTGCTGATTCTCTGTTTGTATGCAGCCATTCTGACTCGGGCTAAGTCTCTCACTTCATCGAGGGAATTGAGGGATTCCCTCATAAGATCCTCATTCTCAGCCGAGAAGTGGCGCACTCGCAGGCTTTCTGTACCGATCTCCACGGGGAGAACGGCTTCGGCGCCATACACCAATTCAAAGGGTGAGTGGCCTGTTGCCTCTTTTTCGGTTGTCCGAAGGGACCAAAGGGTTCCTCTTTTTCGGTTGTCCGTTACTTTGCGGGTGGCATACCGCTGAATATGCCAGTTTGATGCCGAACTGATCTGTATACCGCTTCTGCGGCAAGTTATCGAACTGCCTCCCATGATCGAATACAAATACTTTCGTGATGCCGAAACGAGTGATGATATTCTGCCAGATAAATTTTCTGACAGTCTGTTCTGTAATGTTTGAGGTTGCTTCGGCCTCAATCCATTTACTGAAATAGTTGACACCGACTATCAGCCATTTTTTTCTGGTATGCGGCATCCGGAAATGGGCCCAGGATATCCAACCCCCATTGAGCAAACATAAGCGGATTCAACACCGGCTGAAGCTCTTGGGCTGGCTGATGGATAACTGGTGCGAATTTTTGGCATTTTTTGCATTTTCTAACCAGCTCCTTAGCGTCTGAGATCATGGTGGGCCAATAGTACCCTGCCCTTAATGCTTTGTGGGCTAAGGTCCTTCCCCCAATGTGGTTCCCGCAGATGCCGAGATGGATTTCCCGAAGGATATAATCTGCATCTGTTGGTCCCACGCATTTCAGTAATGGGGCTGAGAAGGACTTCCTCAGCAGCTCCCCGTTGAAGACAACGAACCTTGAACCAGTTCGCTTCAACTTGGAGGCCAAAATTCTGTCTTCGGGAATTTCTCCCCGAAGCTTGAAAGCCAGGATGGGATCCATCTAGCTTGGCTCTTGATCAACGCAGCACACTTCAGATGCTTCGTCGATACTTCTCTCTCGGCGCACCTCCACGTATACAGATCGGTTCAGCTCAGTGAGGGTTGAACTAGCAAGTTTGGATAGTGCGTCGACCGGAGCATTCTGACCCCTTGGGATCAGCTGAACTTCAAAAGTTCTCAGCTTTGCAATAAATGATTTGATCTTGGCAAGGTATGATATCATTGAGGGCTCTTTGGCCTCGTAGCAGCCGCCGATCTAACATGCAACTAGCTGAGAGTCTGTCTTCAGACAAACATGTTCGGCTTCCAGCGAGATGCACAATTCTAGGCCGGCAATGGCCGCCTCATATTCGGCTTCGTTATTCGAAGCTTTGAATGAAAATTTTAGTGCGTACTCGAAGGACTTGCCTTCAAGAGAGGCTATGACCACCCCTGCCCCCGAACCGTTCACGGTGGAGGATCCATCCGTGAACACGGTCCAGGTTTTCTTTTCATCATCCAGCGTTTCCTGATACGAGCATTCGGCCAGGAAGTCCGCCAGAGCTTGAGCCTTTATGGCTGCTCTCGACTGGTAGCTGATGCTGAATTCTGTGAGCTCGAAAGCCCATTTGGCCAGCCTACCAGATTTTTCAACTTTGCCGAGAACCTTTTCCAGCGGTTGATCGGTCGAAACCACTATCTGATGACAATCAAAATAGGGTCTTAACTTCCGAGCAGCTACCACCACTGCGTAAGCAACTTTTTCAAGTAAGGGGTAGCGGGTGTCGGCATCTGTCAGAGTGTGTCTGACGAAGTAGATCGGTTGTTGAACCTTATTTTCCTCCTTCAGCAGCACTGCACTGATGGTGGCTGGGCTGAGAGCCACGTATAAGTACAGGGACTCTCCTTCCACTGGGCTAGCCAGCGTTGGGAGTTGAGCCAGGTGCTCCCGAAGCTGCTTGAAAGCTTCTTTTTGCTCGTCTTCCCAGACGAGCTCTTTTGTTTTCGGGAGTTTCAGATCTTTGAAGAAAGGTAACCCCTTATCCGAGGCCCTAGAGATGAACCTCGAGAGGGCTACCATTCTTCCGGTGAGCCGCTGAACGTCCCTCTTTGTTTTCGGCTCGGGAAGATCGAGCGCTGCATGCACCTTGGCGGGATTGGCATCAATCCCTCTTTTGCTGACCATGAACCCAAGGAACATCCCTGATTTCATGCCGAAGACACACTTCTTCGGATTCAGCTTCATCTGGTGCTTTCTTAAGGTGGCGAAAGTTTCTGCCAGGTCCCTAACATGGTCTCCATCTTTTTTGCTCTTGACGATTGAATCGTCAACGTAGACTTCCATGTTTCGGCCTTTTTACTCTGCAAAAAGTTGATCCACCAATCTTTGGTATGTTGCCCCCGCATTTTTCAATCCGAAGGGCATCATTTTGTAATTATACACCCCGGCATTCGTAACGAATGCCGTTTTTGCTCGGTCGTCGGGGTGCATGAAGATCTGATGATACCCAGAAAATGCGTCCATGAAACTAAGCAAGGCGTGGCCACTTGTCGAGTCAACTAGATGATCGATCCTCGGCAAGGGATAAAAATCCTTCGGACACGCCTTATTTAGGTCCGTGAAGTCAACGCACATTCTCCAGGTGCCATTTGCCTTTTAAACCATCACCACATTATCCAGCCATTCTGGATACTGACATGGTTCGATGAAGCTTGCATCCAACAACTTTTTGACCTCGGCTGCGATGTCTCGGGTCTTATTTGCGGAGTAGTTCCGCTTCTTTTGCTTAACTGGTCGACACGTGGGGTCGACATTAAGCTTATGAGAGATGAGGTCTGGACTTATCCCGGGCATGTCAGCTGCCGAGAAAGAAAACACATCTCGGTTGTCCCGAAGGAGCTGGATGAGTTCAACGCGGACCTTTGGATCAAGGTCCAATCCGATTGTAACGCATTTTTCGGCGTCTCCTTCGGTCAATCGACCGTTTCGGTCTGATGGTCCAGTTCCATTGCCGTGGGGCTGGACTCCTCATTTTCTGGCCTTCTGTCTATGTCAGCAGGAGTTCCAGATTTTTTCTTCTTCGGCTGCCTCTCTGAGTCTTTCGGCTCAGACGATGAGCAAGCCCTTTCTTTTCCTGGCCCTTTTTCTTTAGCCAGGTCTCCTTGAGCAGAAGCATTTAGGCCTTTCGGCTTCTTCGCATTCGGCTGATTATCTTTCTCCTCCTCGTCCTCGTCGTCCTCTTTTGTACGACTGGCGGACGGCTTGAGGTAGTTGCACCTTCGGGCCTCCTTTTGGCTGCCCTCGATCCTTTCGGGGTAGCCGGCATCCGAGACATAGATCATCAGCTGATGGTATGTCGAGACTACCCTTGGATTTCGTGAATAATGGGTCTCCCCATGATCACGTTGTACACGGAAGGATCATCGATGACCAAGAATTAGGTCATGACGTTCCTAGTTGCCTCATCGCAGCCGATGGTGACAGGAAGTGTTACCATCTCGTCTGGATAAGTTGAGGCCCCGTTGAATCCGGATACCGGGTATGGTACCGGCATGAGGTGCTTGGGCTTCAGCTTAATTTGAACAGGATGTTTGCTCCGCTTCCGCCACCAACAAGAACCTTGCTGAAGTCGTAGTTGGCCACCGTGGCGATAATCACCAATGGATCCTCGTGAGGGAATGTCACCCCTCGGCAGTCGGCGGTTGTGAACGTCATGTTCGGCACCGGCGACTGAGGAGGCTGAATGCTGGCATTGTTCACCTGATGGGTCAGAGCCCTAAGGTGACGCTTGTGCTCCCTCCGAGAACATATTCCTCCCGAGATAACATTAATTGGAGGGAATTTTCCCTCCGCATTTTTGCTGTTCTTCCGGGGGAAGTCAAGTTCTTGCCGAGAGTCCTTTTCGGATTTCTCAGCCTCTTTTTTCTCGCGGTGATCCGCGATGTATTTTTTCAAGTATCCTTTCCGAACCATATCTTCGATTTGGTCCTTCAGCTGGATACACACTTCAGTGTTGTGTCCCGGTGATTCATGGAACTCACACCACTGATTTTTATTTTTGCGTTGG